TCCTTCCTTCTTTTTCTTCATTCCTTTTATCATCTCTCTTTCCTATCTTCCCTCCTGGGTAGAAGATGCGATGAGAAGGCACCTCTGCTCCCTCGCAGCGAGAGAGCAACAGGTTGACAATGTCTTGTAACCTAGATTTGCGCACTGTTGCTAATGGAAGTGAAGTATTAGACTGCGTTCATACCTTTCGTCGGCGTTTCGAGCGTGTTGAGCGTTTCAGGCGAAATAAAAGTATAGAGATGGACGCTCGGAACGCTTAAACGCTAAAACGTTACCCATGCTCTATTTTTCTTTCGAAAGGTTAGATCGATGCCTGTACTTTGCTTTTCCCCCTGCTGTCGCAGGGAGGTTTCTGTCTTCTCTGCACTCGCTACTGACCTGGTTAATTCTCAAACATTTTTACTGAATTTTTTTATTATCCGACAATTTCACCATTTAACGACGTCAAGGTAACTTCTCATGAAAACTGTTGTCGTCTTGTCGACAGAAGCTGAAGATGCATTTTTCTTCTGCGAAACATTCGGCGAAACTGTGACTTGTGCACAACTGCAGCTTATACCTAAGAAAATAAATTGTTCAAATAGTAATTGCTAATTGCTCTTGTGGGATGATGTAGTACAAAAAAGTGTTATAGGCGCTTAAAGCTCTATATTCGTGAATGCCATAATCTCATTCCTAAATACTTCTACTTTCATTTATTTATTTAGTTTTGTACGGTCCGTAACAATGGACAAATGGAAGGACATAGAATTGGCAAAGATGCGAGTCGGTGGCAATCAGAAATTCCGTCAGTTTCTCATGAGTCAGCCAGATTATCGCGAGGACTGGTCACTTCATGATAAGTACAATTCGAGGGCAGCTGCTTTATTTAGGGATAAGGTACGCACCAACACTTGATTCTTTCAGTTGCACTCTTGTTTGTGAAGGGGCGTGTAGGAAGGGATGGGTTTGGTACGGTGCCAAACCCGTTTTCTGCCCAGTTGTTGTCGCTTACCCGTTTCAACAGTTGGTGGAGAACGGGTTTGGCGCCGCGGAAAACGCATACAGCCTGCACTTCCCCTCGCCCGCAGCGAACAAGACGGCATATCCGTAGAATTTTCATGCAAATTCATCTGGTTCAGGTATCAACTGAAGCAGAAGGGAAGGAATGGTCAGTAGCAACATCGTCAGCACGAAATTATGTCCCTTCTACGCTGAATGCTGGAAATAGACTAGGTGGTGATATTTCGCGGCACGCTTCAGGAACAAGTCTAGGATCATATTACGGAGGCAACAATGCAGCATATTCTGATGGAGTTGGATATAGTGCGGGTGGCGCTGCTCAAAGGTATCTTCATTCGTTCTGAAAAAGTTTCCCAGGAGAAAAATGGGTGCAAGAAGTCTTCCTGGAGTCCACAAGCGTAGAAGAGCTCTTGAAACTACTAGGCTGTAATTTAGTGACGACCGTTATCGAGGATTTGGGAATACAGTCGATCCTCCCAGCAACCAAGATGATCTCTTAAGTGGCGCCATGTCTTCTCTTTCAGTGGTAAGTGTATGTTCTCAGTGGCCCCATTTCTTCGCAAACTAATCGATCATTATAAGGGCTGGAATCTTATCTCGAAGGGAGCCTCACAAGCTGCAGCTATTGCCAAGGATGTTAGTATTCAAGCTACTCAAAAGGCAAGCGAACTCTCGGTAAGCTTGTACTTCTAGGTTTACTTTTTTTGCATCTTTTATCATACCTATCTGGTTGTTGATCATTCCAGAGGTAGATCAGAGAGTCAAAGGTCTTCAACGGATATGATGACAGACCATCGTAGTTCGCTCGCTCACGAAGGGCCTCGCGCTGCGACGGTCGCGCCCGCCAAGCATCATGTTCGCAGGTGGCGCCAATCGAAAGTATAACAAAAATAGACACAAATGTTCACGATGTCGTAGTTACACGAAATCTAGCCCTCCAGTCGGCAGGCTAATGCTAGCGAGAAAACGTCGCGCACATCGCCGCCCGCGAACGGAGCGGCAAATTACGATTCTCTTGACCGTCTCCAGGTTTTCATAGTACCGTTGTAGACTTGTAGCTTTTTCATTTTTTGCATAAATTATTTCTAAGTTCTCTTTTACTCATTCCCTTGACAAAAGAGGCAGAAATGGTTGTCTACAAGGAAGATTACCTGAGTAGAAAGCACTCGACCTCACCTTTTCAGGCCCAAAACAGTGGTCTTCTCTCTGGGGTTGCAAGCAAAGCGACGGAGATTGGGCAGAAATCGTGGGGAGGTATTTCTCAGTTCGTCAAATCACCTTCATTACAAGGATTGGGGAACATCATTCCAAAAAGGTACTTTTGAATTCTGTTTGCGTCTCTTTTTTAGAACAAGGTTTATGTAAGTAGTGCGTGACGTGTTCTGTCTTTCAGAGGTTATGAAGGTGAT